TTTTTTGACGATTTTCCTGGAGAATCGACTAGGCCGTTGGACCTCCTTTCGCATAGGAAGGAGACAGGACCTTTTCTTTTGCGCAACAGAGACGGCGAGAGAGACAGAAGAGCATTGTTCTCCTTTCACCATCCCTGACGACGAGAGAGATTCAGTTTTTTGGTTGGCCAGGCTCCATGAGAGCCACCCACTGATACCCATCAAAATGGACCACCGCCGTTCATGGGCGCGGTGGACGATGTCCGCATGTGCCCATCTCCCCCCCTTCTCCTACCCTGGCGGAAGGGAAGCCCTGAAAGAAGCAGAGCAAGGTTGCCGGCATCAATGACATGTGAGGTCCAGTGTGTTAGTGTTGGTGGGTAGGTAGGCGTTGAAGGGAGGTTGATGGAGGGGGGGAGCTTGTTACGCAGGGACTGCCATTGACTTTGAGAGTCCACCGACTTTACATGTGCGGTCATGGAGATAGCCGCAAGCGAAGCTGAGTGGGAAACCGTCAAAAGGGGGCCCGGGCCCTAGAGGCTAGGGCCTAGAGAAGGGCAGGCAATTTTGGGGCCGCGCGAGACTTGTCTGACTGTCTAACTGACTTGGCGCAGCGCGTCGGATGACTGACTGAGCGGAGAGTGAGAGCGCGAGACTTACCCTCTCTCCCCTTGTGCCAACACGGAGCGAGCGCGAGCGCAGGCAAGGGACACCTTTTTTGGTGGACGAGCGGGAACCAGTGTCAGTTGGTGTCGCTGCCAAAGTCAGTCGGTGTTGTGCAGTCCGCTCTGTCAGCGGTTGATGGGTTTCCTGTCATGTCCCTCGCGTCCGCGGTGCGGTGCTCTGCATCCCGCTTATTGCCCAATACTATACGGATACACAGGTACTTGGCTTCTCACTTGTTGCTCTGCCTCGTAAGCGGCATGTAGCGATATTGCTGTGTGGGCACATGAACATACCGGCAACTGGGGCCTGCATGTCTACCTAGTCTTGCACCCTATCCTGGACCAACTCAACTCAATCCATCATCTTAGAACGGTCAGATAGGCAGAAAGAGAGGGAGCGAGACAGAGAGAGACACAGGCAGATACATGTCTCGGGGCCGCTTTACCGGGCAGCAAGAGGACTGAAGTGGTTCCCCTGGTACAACTGAACTCAACTCAACTCTCGTCACCTCTCACCCACCACCCTCTTTTCCCTACATACATTCACTTTCCGCCCAGATGCCCCGTGCGCTGGAGAGAGAGAGAGAATAACGAACCGACCTATCAGGCTTTCAGCCAGAGCTATGCCGATTGCGAAAGCCTTTTCCTTTTCCCTCCCTCACCCCTGGCGGCGCGGGGGCCCTGGCGCGGCGCGGCGTCCTCCTTTCATACTCTATCTCTATCTCCCTTTCTCTTTTTCACAAGTGACAATAGAGAGACACAGACGTAAATAGAGTCTTTTCCTACTGTAGTCAAGCCAAGCGGGCGGGAGAACGAGTACGACGGGCCTAGATTTCGTCAGATTGGACTAGAGACACACACAAGAAAGAAAAGTAAGCAGCGATCACTTTCTTGTCTGCTCTCTCTCTCTCTCTCTTGCGCCGCCTGGCGGGAGGAGGCTAGTTCCATGTCCGGCCAATCGGCGATCCACAAAGATCCCCTGGGGCACCCCCGGTCGGTACTTCCGCACACTTTCTCTCCCCTCCCCCCTTCTCTCAAGTTCCCTCTTGCTGCCCCCCTTTGCGGTATGTATCCGTACACTTTCCTTCGACTTGGACTTCCCCTCCTAGAACAGGGACAGGAACGGGAACATACTGTACGTATACACTAACCACACGAGCAGGAAGGGACTGGGCTCCTTGTCCTAGTTCGTAGTTATCACCTACGAATAGTAGAACCTGGACCGGGACCTGGACCTGCGTCTAGTTTCGTCATCTCAGTCCCGTCGTTGCCTGCTGATGGTAAAAGTATCGTTCCGACGAGGTTTTGTGATCCTGGTTACAAGCCCCAGCACTAACAAGGCCACGCCAGGAACCGCCAGGAACCATCAGCATTACCACATGATGACTTACTGTCGGATACGTAGATACTGACTGACTGACGCTTAGCCGCTGCGCATGGCAGCGAGAAAAGATCGAGACACTGGCCTCATTCAGTTCATATCCACCAAGAGCGCCCAGCACCTTCTCCACAGCCATGCTTCATCCCACCTCACCACACCACACTGTACAAAGTATATGACGGCGGCGCCTGAGAGCCCCCAGGTGACTAATGGATTGCAAGGAGTGCGACGGTTAGCAGCCTCTCGATGCCTAACTGGTATAGCACATGCCCGAGTTCCGTCTGGCGAGAGTGGACTTTTCTGCAGTTGATTGCTCTTGATTAAAAAATGAATCAATAAAGAAGTAAAAATAAAAAAAAAGCCCACATCGCTGGGTTCCATGCCACATCTGCAACTCACTGTCAAATCACACGCGTTGCACAGTATACAAGAATCATGGCCCGAGGAAAGAAAATGGCAACAACACAACACGACACGAGCCGTCCTGGTTGTTGTTATTGTTGTCGTCCCCCAGCTTACGGATACATAGGTGGGCATGGTAAACCGCAGGTCCCCTGGCTTGAACCAACTAAACTTCACCACCCCATTGCAAGTCAGAGACAAGAAAAGACAACCCAATGGCAAGACAAGCATCGGGAAGGTATGGTACCTTGCCTTGTTTGACTTACTTTCTTGCTAGGCTCTTTTCTGTTCCTGCATCCTCGTGCCCCCTTCACTCGTCTTTCCACCCACTAAGGTAATCCCAGACCCGTTGTCGTTGTCTCTCATTTCTCTCTCGCTGTCTACAGTGTATGTGGCCTTGCGTCTGTATGTGCGTGTGTGTGTGTGTGTCTCTCTCTCTCTCTCTCTTCCCTCAGTGCCGCGGTGTGCGTGTGCGTGTGCGGTGCGCGTGTGCGCGGGCGCCGCTGTCTCTCGCCCTCTCTTCTCCTCTCCTTCCCCTTTTGCTCCTAGTCCACGTCCAGTATGTCCACGACCTGGCCTAGTCCTCGTCTTCTTTCTCTCTCCTCCTCCTCCACAAATCCCATCCACATGCATCCACACTCATCCACTCACACACCCCTGTTCCGCCATCGTCCACGACCCAATCCTGGGAACATATCCACTTACACAGTCCCAATCAAGTCCCCAGTTCCAAGGTCTCCGTCTCCATCCCACCACCACCACCACCACTACGGTACTACATACTACCACTTCCTCCTCTCAGTCTGGCTGCTAGCCCACTTTTGCATTGCCTCTTGTCTTCCACTCACGCTACCCTGCCTGGCCTAACTGGGCCTGGTGCTGGGTTCGTGGTGGTAGTGGGTGGACGTGGTCTTTCTCTGTCTCTCTCTCACTCTCTCCTCCTCTTCCCGCCAGTCCAGTCCAGGTACCGCAGCAAGGTACCGGGCCCTGCTTCCTCGCTCGTCCTCACTCCTCCCCACCCAGCTTCACACCCCCCCTCCCCTTTCCTTTTTTCTTAAACACCTCCCCCCCCTCGTCCATCTACTTGCATCTTGCTCTCTGCCCTCCTTTCGCTCGCTCGCTCTCCTCAACCCGCCGTGGTCCAGTCACCAGTCAGTCCAAGTAAGTCGGGTCCTCTGTGTTCTCCTCCTCCTCCTTCACCCATCCGCTGCCACTCTTTGGTTCACTCCCACTCCCACGCCCACGCCTGCCCGACGCCCAGCGCGCTGCTACCATACCTTAGTACTGCCGCTGCCGCTGCTATTACTCCCACTCCCAGGTCCAATCCCGCGCCAGACCAGACCAGACCAGACTCCTCTCCCACCTCGTCTTGCTTCTCCTGCTCCTCCTCCCC